CCCTAGAAAATTTGCCCCTATGCAGTTATGACTACATTACTTAGTGCTTCTGTAGCACAGCCTCCAGCATACTGACACTATGCTTGCAACCACAAATAAGAGCAGTATGCGGAAGGCTACGGGAGTTAACACAGACCAATGTTAACAAACACACATTTCTACCTTTGGACCTAATCCTGAAGATATTTCCAAAATTTACCTCCTGCTCAAACCTTTCACTGGCCCTGTGCCTAAGAGGTTTCTCCTCTGACCCACTTCTGACATATTTCAGAGACACTGCAGGGAGGAAATCCACTATTACTTCAGTCTTTGCCTAATTTCTACAACAGAGCTTGTGACAAAGTTTCATTGCATTTCAAGCAGGAACTTAAGGTCCACTGATAATCATGTAGAGGTGGAGGAAGAGCCAAAGCACCAAAGGATACGAGAGAGCTCAATTAACATGGGCCATCCTACAGCTTTCCTAAATGCAGTCATTAGGAAAAAAAAAAAAGACTGGAACTTCCTCCTAGGAGGACTAAGGACTCCTCCTCCTTAGCTCCTAAAATGAGGGCAGTAGGCTTTGGAACCAACAATCACTGCTTCCCACTTGCCATGTTCTTCTCTTTGCACTGCACTACCTGGAAAATCACCTTCCTTTTACGTTACACCAGATCACGTAAAAATTTAAGCCTCTGCTGTCAGGTCCTTGCTAAATTTTCTTTATGTGAATGTAAGACCAAAGGGAATACTGTCACTGTTCTTAAAAAAACACACACAAAAGACAAACAAAACCCACCACTCTGCCAAACTACTGAGTGACTTCTTTCCCCTGAGGCTACCATGTCCCATAAGATCTTGCTTAGATCCTGGACATCCTTTCCAAAATGAGTTACAGAATCACCTTTCCAGAGCTGGAATCTTGGGCTAACAAGCATCTGGAAAGAGAAGACTTTTTTTTTTTTTTTTCCCTTTTTGCATCTTCCTGCAAACAACACAGTATGATGTTTAATAAATATATGATAATCAACAGTGGCATGTCAGCTTTTCCTTTTAAATTAGGCTCAAAAAGAAGAGGTCAACAGTAGCCCGATATGTTTGCATATGTTATATTTCTCTACCAATCTATTTCTTCCCACTGGCAAGAGGGGAGCAAGCAGAATTCAAAGCAAACACAATTTTGCGCAACTGATTTAGCAAGTATGAATGCAAGTGACAACTGCCCTGGTTTTCACTCCAATGAAAAACATAGAAGCATCACAGCAGAGACATTCTTGTATATGAACAGGTGGGCTTGTTTGTCAAACTCTGGGGTATGGTTAGACATGGAGACATGAAAGTGTAAAGAGCAACACTGCAGAGTCTGTGTCAATTGCCTCTCAAAGGGTTTCACATCAACTGTACTCAGCTAACATGGAAAAGATGTTCACTTGGTTGGTTGGTTGGTGGTTGATTGTTCAGTAACAGCCAGCCTGAGAAACAGAAGAGGAAAAACCTAGCAGAAAGGAGGAAACATTTATGGAGTGATGTTCCTTCTCCCCACATAGTGTGCTATATGTGGATATTCTGTGTGCTATGTATGAAACACATCATTCTAGCTTGGTTTATAAAATTGCTTTTTATGCTCCATGATCTTCAGCAAATGTACAAATAAACATGACAGAGAGAGGGAATAAGAAGCACAAGCACAAAGCAACTACCAAAATGTGATAGCAGCAGTCTGCTAACTGGATGGTGAGAGCCAAAATCATAAGCATCCAGTTATTTTAGAAAGCTTTGCCAATAGACTAAATAGAATACCATGGGCCAGGTGTCAGTGATTATAATCCCACTGATGCCAAGAGAGTTGCTCCCATTTACAGCAAGCCTGGCTTTGGCTGTGCCTCTGTAGTACAAGAAATAATTCATAAAGCACAGAGTTAAAAGCAGCCTTGCAAATTGCCCCTGGCACCTACTGCTTGCAGATAATGACCCAACACGGGGCAGCTCCCGCACACTCATGTTGCTTTGGTGCAGCCAAGGCATCTTGCTGAACTCAGAATAACCACCATCACCACTTGCAGCTGCTGTTAAAAAATGAACCTGTGTGAATGCCTAAACATGCTACTCCAAGGCCAGTTTCTGCCATGGAAAGATGGTGGCAACATATGAGAAGAGCTGGATACTTGAAAAACAAATTCAGAGCTGTGACAGTAATGGCTGTGTCCAGCACAGCCCTAGGCTGCACACAGGAACATCCATTATCACCAGCTTCCAACAGAGAAATACACTCAGGCATATTCTTTCCTAGGTTAACACAGAATTAACCCATAACTAATTAACCCATTAACCCTTCGCAGAAAGATATGCAGGTTTTAGACATCCACGGTGCTTCAAGGTGTGTAGGGGTTGGCGTGTGAGAGCAGATATTGATATGAAAAATATTAATGAAGTAAAATCGATAGAACCTTAAGTAATTGATGCTGACAACTGCTCTGCTTTCATTTTGATAACCAGGTACTCTTCTCCCTTTACATGTTCCTGTTTTGGGGGAAACCTTGGCTTGAGCCCAATGAATTAGCAAGTCAGACCCGTGGGAGGATGAGCCTGAGCTGTCTCACTTGTCCAAAGTCCAAAGCAATAGTTTTAGTAATAGTTCTCCCACAAGCGGGTGCATCTGGGTAAATTAAAAATTGATAACACAATATTCCATTTTCTTCCTCCCTTCACCGCAACATTAAGCCTTTCCATTGCTGAAGATACTACAGGGATTTTTTTCTTACCATTCCTAAGTACTGCACAGTGAATATGTGTCCTTTCACAAGTGGAACCTTGTAGCTATGGAGACGAAGGATGTTAAATCCAAGCTGAAGATAGTATTTCAGTGGGGGCTTATGGCTGCTACATGTGTCTTCAGTGATCTGCTGCTTTCTGTCTCCTCCAGTCCTCTGTGCTAATAGCCAACGCATAATTAATACCATGCAGATACAGAGCATATGTTCTCCCAGTCCCAGCACTACTGCATTCAGAACAGGCTTCCTGAATTTACACCACAACGAGGAATCCCAAAGATAATGGGATAAATAGCCTGACTTCTGCAAACTTGTGAGCCAGCGTAACTTAACCTGAGCAGCAGCTGAATCAAACTGCTATGGCACTGCAACAGCACCTGGAAACCAGGTGAGCTGGGGTCCCCTTGTGTTTAAAGCTGTGCCTAACACTCAGCAGCAGCAGGAAGAAATTATGCCATACTGACCTTCGGTTACCAGACCTGGTAGGTCTTTCTACCTATTTATTAATCTCCCATAATCCAAATTATTTGGATTTCAGCCTCCCAAACAGCAGCAGGTGTCCCCTTATCTTTTGTGCATTATAATTACGATCCGAATTTCCTTACGATGGTTTCATTACGTGCACTTTTGGATATGACACAGGGATTCAACTGTCCTCCAAACCATCTTTAAATTAAACAGCTCCATACCGAAGCTAATGACATTTTAGTGGTGTTAAACTTGAGCAGGAAAACAAGGCAGCCTTTCAGGTGAAATTAATGCTCCTTGTGACAGCTGGTGAAAATTCACAATAACTTTGTTAGCATCTTTTTATTTCTACTTGCACTGCTAACAGAAAAGAAGAAGCCAAAGCACACATTGATTCACATAATGCTAGTGGAAATGACAAGGGCACGACAGGTGCTTTTCCCTTTCTGAAGGCAATGCTGCTCCAGACCCCAAATCATCTCTATTTTTGCTTCCCCTTAGTTCTGCGGTCCAAACTCAGATAGTGATTTCAGGTGCCAAATACCAGACATCATACAGAAGCCCTATTTTCTGAAAGTGCAAAACATCCAATTTTCAAAAATGGGGATCCAAGAATCGCAGCCTGCTGAGCACTGCTCAACTTTAACACACCTTTCAGACTACCTCACTGCTCAAAATCTACCATAGCCTATTCAACGTGCATAAAAAGATAGGATTGAATGTCAGCAGGCACACTGACAGTGTATTCAGGTAGGATAACCACAACCAGGGAACCAAAATCCACCATGACCTCCTAATCACGTACAAAGTTAAGTAACGAGTACCGAAATGTAACCATGGAAATCCTCCTCATCAGGAATAAATAAGCAATTATATTCACAAGTAAAAACGTTTCTTACATACATATTAAATAGTGTCAATGACAACGCAGCAACAAAAAACTACAGCATTTTCTAGCCAAAGCTTAACAACAGAGCAAAGAAACATCAACAGCTTTTCTTATTTGTATTTCTCACATACTTTCTAAATCAAAATTATACTGCATCCTTAAATGTATGCAACTACTGTCTTCACTAGAGCTGTATCTCAAGCTAAACCTTCACCAAGCATCTGAAAGTTTTCACTAAAATAGAAAAACCAAGAGAAAATCCCTCTCTCAAACTCAGATATTTGCAGATGTTTAAGCTGGGGCCTTTGCAAGGCTGAAATCTACAATAAGTTAATGAAGAAGCATGGATGTTCCTGGTTATCTATCAAACAAGTAAATGCTCAACCCAAAAATGTGCTGCAGTCCTGCTGTTTCCAGGTTTACCCCCCTTTTCTGCATTCTGAAAATGCAGAAAAGCTTTGGCATTATCACTAAACCCATCAGAAAACCCCAAAGATGTGACATGGGGTCTGGAGCAGAGAGGACTCCATGCTTATTTTTGAAACAGAAAGGTCCTTAAACTTCTCTGCCTCTAGCAATACAGGAAAGATGTGCCTCATGCTACCACCGATAATTAAATAGGTGCAGATGAGAGGGGGATAATGCATCTTTATCATAGGTTTTTACTTCATCTTACACTAATTCTACTTTAAGTCTGAATTGTTCAAAAATAATCACTGTCACTTCCCTGATTGCTACAATTTAATGAGATAACCTTGCATGCTGAGCAAACCCCAAAGCAAAAAAAAAAACCTCATTAATCTTTCTAGCATTTAGAGACACCTCAAGAGCTTCAAACATTTACCTCTCCTTCCCAGCAGCTGAAATGGTTTTAGGAGGATCATGGTTCATACCTCACATTCCCTGGAGCCAGAGATGGTATACGTGCAGGGCCCAGATCCATTAACGGATACATCCATGGTCTCAGAGTTTGTTGGCTTGTAGTCCACGTAATACTCCTGTAAAGGGGAGTTCATTTGCCTTTCAGACTCCCTGGCCTTTTTCCTGCGCCTCTTCATGAGTGAGTGCTGCTGGAGCTGCTTCATGCTGGCTGGATAGCGCTTCCATGACACGTAGATAACCAACAAAATCATGGCCACGGAAAGAAAGAGGGCCACGCTCCCAGCAATGATTTTGTGAAAGGAAACGTGCTCGTATTCGGGTTCCACTGCAGGTGTTGGGAGGTCAGTGGAGGGGCTTGGCACCACAGACGTTGGCTGATTGCTTTCAAGTTTGGAAACGGTAGGCTTAGGAATAAAGACAGGTCTCTGGGGGGTTTTGGGAGCCTGATACGATCTTTCAGTAACCACCACCTGGATTTCGGCACAGATATTGTATGTCTCCACAGCATCGCTCACTTTTTCACCCTGGATTTGTTTAGGGCCTGCACATATCATAGTGGTTTCTTTATTTCCCTTGAAATTCTTAAGCCAAGTGAACAGAGGGCAAATGCTTCGAGTACATTCCCACATATTTCCGGATAGAGTGATGGAGATGAGTGAGATCCATGTATTGATGGTCTCCTGAGAGATGTTGGTGAGTTTGTTGGAATCCAGGTTCAACTTTTGTAGGTTGGGGAGGCACTGGAACGTCCCAGGCTCTATCCCTGTAATGTCATTTCCTGATAAATCCAAGTTGTGCAAGGAACTCCAAGTCCATGTTAACCCTTGGCTGATAGACCGGATCCTATTCCACTGCAAGTAAATTGAGCGAAGGTTGAAGAGGCGTGGGAAGTGGGCGAAATTGATCTTAGAAAACTGGTTGTGCTCCAAATGGAGCTCCGTCAACTTCAAAAGGCCAGCGAAAGCATTTCGGGATAAGCTCCGCAGGCGATTGTAGCCCAAATCCAGAAAATCGAGGTTACGGCAGTCTTGGAAAACTCGGATCGGGACGGATTTCAGCGAGTTAGACCGCAAATGCAAGATCAAGAGCTTACGAAGGCCTTTGAACTGCTCAGACTGCAGCACCTGCAACTTGTTGTACGAGAGGTCCAGGTTGCGGAGGTTGGGGACTGGGTGAAACGTTTTGTTGTGCAGATGGGTAATTTTGTTGGAGCTCAGAATTAATTCCTTCAGCCTGCGGATCCCCTGAAATGCATCCTCATCCACGGAGTTGATGTAATTATGGTCAAGATAAAGCCATATGAGCTGATTGAGGCCCGCAAACTGATTCGATTTAAGCTTCTGAATGCTGTTGTACCGCAACGATAAGCCTTGAGACCCTCCAGAAATATTCTGAGGGATGTCTCTGAACGCGTGAGATTCGCAGTACACAATCTTGCCATCGCATCTGCAGTTCTTGGGGCAAGCTCGCTGAGCCCCCGCAAGCACAACAAACAGCACCACAGGAAGTAGCACTAACACCACACTCATGCCCCTCAGCTGCTTAATTAAATGGAAACCTACAATATTAAAAAGAAAAAAAAAAAAAGTGCACTGTAAAGCTACCCAAATAATTCACCAATGGGTTTCTAACATCCATGGGGTGTCTGATAAAGCCTTAGTGAAGCAGTGGGTTTTGAAGACAACCTGTTTGTGTCCTGGCTTGCACTTTTGGTTGTATAAATGTCTTTGCTTGCCATCTCTCCTACCTGCACCATCACTGGCACTACACTCGTTATTCAATTACTTGTGTGTGATTTATGAGCCCTTAGAAGGACCAAGAGCCCATTCTCTATTTGCTGTTCTCCTGTACATCATCTCTCAGGGCTGCTGGTATATCCTTATCGCTAGATGCTGGGATTTTAACAATAAACATATTTGTCAAGTCACTGTGCTGAATGCTCCATAGTGCTGGGAAGGAAATGAGGCAAAGCTTCTGGCATTTACATGGTGCTAAATATGTTCCCTGATAAAAGCAATTGCAAGTTCAGTTCTCCCAAAAAGTGAGGAATCTACTTATCATAAAGTTTGATCCGTCTTTAATGCACCCATTTGTTGTAAAACTAAAAATTGTAGGCTTTACTTTTTACATTTAGTAATTATATTTGAGAGTAGGTTTCACTTGTTCATTAATTTCCATGTACCTTAAATGCATAGAAATGCACAGAAACAAAGTTCAATCATATTGGGAAGTATTACTATAAAACGCTAGCATGGGACCTGAGTAACAAGGTAATGTTAGGAGACATTTATTTAAAATGAGTCACTGCCTTAACACTTACTGCCTTAAAGTTATCTACACGGAGGGGTGAATACCTAAGCACTTCCTATTTTTGGTATACATTCATTGCATATCCTCTGTGAAAACATACACAGAAATACTTACATATAAACACTGCCTTTAGAGCAGCAATACACCCAAAGTTTAAGGGGGAATTTCTGTACTGTAGCTGCTGTCTCTTTTCCCCAGCCCTGCTCATATTAAGATTCTGCGTTTCAGATGTCAAAATTCTCCTGTAGAGCAGATATCATTGCATGGCCACAGTGCTATTTTCTACATTCTCTGAATAATTATGGAAGGGGCTGCAGGGGGCTGTCAGAGTCCCCAGCACATACGCACGCTCTCCTCAGCCTGCAGTGATTTTAGGACTGATGCCTCTGTGTCCAGAGTTGCAATCTTACTAGGAATTAAGATACATTCTTCCAGTAGGAAATATTCCAAGGGCCAGTATCTCCTTGATAAATAATCACCTCATTATTTGTCATATACAGAAAACCACCCTTGTGTTGCAGTTATTTCATTTGCTTTTAAACCAAGGGGGCAATCTACAAAATAATTCCTCGTCTAACACGCCCCTGACTATGCATCTCTGCTTTTCACTTTAAGGTTAGATTTTTAATTTAAATTCTCATTTTTTTGCTACTGCCTATGTGTCAGCAGCAGCCAGCTAGAAATATGTTCTTGCTGTTACAGACTTGGGGGCTGGGGGGGCGGCTCTGGCGGGGGGGGGGGGTAGGAGGGAGGGAAATAAACCTGTCACACTTGAAAAAATAAGACTGGCAAATGACTGCTGGAAATCCAGCAGCAGTATTAGGGTGCATCTTTTCAGAACCACCTATAAAACCAAATCAACCCCTTCCCTTTGGCTTCCCACCTAACCACAAAGTGTTAACAGTCCATTCTGACAACCCGAATAATGCCACTACAGGCTCATGGAATAGGAATAGAAACCCAGAAGAGATGTGGTGCGGGCTGCCTCACGCATGCATGTACCTCTGTGCATCATGTGTGCAGGTGTGTGGGTGGTTGGACAGGCAGGAACGTACAGCCCTTCACCCCATGCATGCATGCACACATTAATTACATATGAAACCACTGCAGGAGGAAAGGTGTGTGCGTTTGGTGGGAGGGTGTGGGGGGGTGAATGCATGATCTAAAAATACAATAGCAATGAGTACAATGAGTCACCTGGCACAGGAATGCGCTGCTGGTTAGGCTGTTTTCCCCTCCCGAACAGCTAATAATCCAACTGAACAAAAAATATGCCACACAGCTGCAGCTGTGCTGACAAACAAGCAAGAAAAGTTCACTTACCCATCCTTTTGTCACCAACAAACGTCCTCCTCTTCCTCTCGCCAGCTGTTTTCTTCGCTCTCTCTTCCCCTTTTTGCCTTTTTCTCCTTTGCCTCTCTCTTCTTTTTAAAACTGCTCTTTTCCTTAAACCATCAAAATCTTCATGTCACAGCACGGCTGCCGCTCGCATCACCGCCATCCAGCGTGCATGCCAGAGCCCCACACAAAGTTCCCTAGAGAGGACAAGCAAGAATTTTGGGGATGAGGAAGGAAAGGGAGAGGGAAGGGGCTGGGGGTGGGGAAGACAGGACGAAGGATGGGGGGGGAGTCTGTAAGAGGTGGGGGGGGCGGGGGGGGGGTAGGGAGGGACTCTAAGCTCTGAGAGCCATTGTGTAAGTCATCAGAGAACCATCAGCATTAAGTGGCAATCTGCAAGGAAAAGCTACAGCACATCCCGAAGGTAAAGCAACTTCTCTGGGAGAAACGAGAAGAAAAAAAAAAGAAAAGAAAAAAAAAGCTTTGCCGGTACCTAGCATCTCTCATTCTGCTGCCTTTTGCCATTCCCAGACACAGCAATCCATCTCCAGCTCCCAGCTCCTGAAGCAGGCAGGCCTCCCGTGCCGTGTAACCCCCCAGTTAAAGACTGTGCAGGATAGCTTTATCCATTTAGCTGGTCAGGTTTAAAGTGTTTTGTAGCTGTGCTGAGAGGCAGCTCCTGTCTAATTCAGAAGGCTTTCCAGAGAGTGATGATGCTTTGGAGCTTGTTGGTGCTAATGTTCTAGTTTGTGATACACTGAGTGCCCTCCACTGGAGAAAACAGATCACACATTAAAGGCACGAACAAGTGCTCCTGTCATTGCTATGCAGACTTTCTTCCTTCAGAAAAGAAAATTAAAGATACAGCATTGCCTCGCTTACCACCATCCCTCCCCGGACCCTTCTGCCTTCCCTCTATTGTTCAATGTTTATGGGGTGGATTTTCTTGCAATGAGCACAGAGCATTGAAAAAACAACACCTGGTCCCTGTGTATTTGGTACCGGATCTCTTTCTAATCCACCTGACCTGGATATTTTTCTTCAGCACACTCTACGCTGATTTTATTTTCCTGCGTTCTCTGGGTGAGCACAGGAAAAGGGATGCCTGCAGATTCAAAGTGAAAGTCATGTTAAGGGCAAGGGGAAACAGGAAACACACAAACTAATCATCCACATATAAGGAATTCAGTTACATGCAGCAAATCCAAGTGTAAACACACTGAAAACAGTCTGGTGTCCCTTTTTTAAAGCGTTGAATTGTTGATTCTTTTCCATCAGCAATGATGAACAAAGCAACAATTTTGAGAACACAAAGCTGATGGTGCAGAATTCACCTTTTTTCTCTCCTGAATTCATCCCCCTTGGCCTCCCCCAGCTCCCAGGCAATGACTTCTCACGCTGCTCAGGATGTCAGCAGGCTCCAGCCCTGTGCTGGGATCCAAGACGCGATGCTTCCGCTGCACTTCACCTTCTGCTATTTGTCTGGCAGGTTCACCTGGGCTGGAGTCAATTCTCCCTCAGCCAAAGGGATCTGGAGGCAGTGAGGAACCACGCAGAGTGCTTTCACCTGCTGCTGTTTGGCCCCATTAACCACAAGCAGCAAACAGACCTCTCAATGGATGCCCATGCAAACACAGACGTGACTTCTGGGGTTTCAAAGCCATCTCAGAGGGCAGCACTGGACTGTCCCCCAATACTTCTAACCTGGGTTACAAAAAAAAAAAAAAAAAAAAAAAAAAGAAAACAAAAAGAAAACTGTCGTTTACCATAGAATGTACCCATCAGTTCCTAAAGCTTATTTAACTGTGCTGTCTGCCCAGATGCTCCCTTCTCCCTGTGCTATGCAGACATCAGGTATTTTAAAAGCAATTCCCAGCTCAAATCTTTTATTTAGATGATAAATATGCTCAAAGTGTTTGCTGTTGATTTTCATTGAGTGATCCTATGTTATTCCTGTTTTCTTGAGTGTTTTTTAACTATTGCCCCCTTATGATTTAACAGCTCATTCCACTTGAGGTTTCTGCCTACATCCAGCAGTTGCTCCACACCAATATGACAAAAAATGAAAACTGTGTAAAACTCCAGGCCGCTTCATCTCCTTTTAAAAACAAATAAATGCATAAAAACATGCCTAGAAGCTACTTTCCTCCTCTCCTATACCTCTATCCAGACAGCAACCCGTGCTGGCCAGAGACAGATTTGCATAAGGAAAATATAATTAATCACTATTTTTACTCTAAATTGGCAAGCAATACTCACACCTTCCTCAAACAAGATTCAGTGCTTAATTATCATAAATGATGTTGAAAGTACTTCTTCCATGTCTGTATTAGCTACGTCTGCATTATAGCCAGTACCATTTTAACCAGCATTCATATTTATTCATGATACAATTTCCTAATAAAGGTAAAAGCTGAAGTGTGCAGCTATTATAACCTTATGTTGATGGTTCTCCAGGAAGAGTTCATTTGAAACTCTGCCAGATTTCAGAATGAACCGAGCAGAGTGATGTCTACAGACACCATACAGATTTGCAGGGGATGCCTTTTCCCGGATTCCTGGATCCTTTGATCTTACATGAGCTGAAGCAGCATTGCCATAAGCTGTCCTGCTGCTACACACTCACTGAGACTCCAAAAAACCCCATTCCTACAAAAAGTTCTAATGAATTTTACTTTCATGAAGATCTTCTGATGCCATAACTGAAAATATCATGCATTCTAAGAGAGAAATCTTTCATTTCTAACTGAGCAAGGTTGGTTGTTTTTTTTTTTTTCTGTCTGGTTGGTAGGTTTTGTTTGGTTGCTTCTTTCTTTAATAAAAGAAATATTATGTTGTCTTCTGTGCCAACAAAAAAAGAGGCCAAAGAAGGAAAAAAAAAAACAGAAAATTTGCAGTCAATCTAAATAAGTCTAACGGGTACAAAATAAAAACTCAAAAAGCTCACAGAATAAAGGAAGATGAATTTTGTGTTTGTGGTTTCATTCCATTTCTTTAGAGTGGTGAGTGGAATGAGATACACACAGCTAAGAGAAACCTGAAATGTTCTAAGTGCTTGGTTGATCCTCATCCAGCTGGCACAGTTTTCTGCCACCTGACCACGACTCACCTAGATAAATTATCCATACTGATAAGTTTGTGTGCTATGGGATCTATAGTATCTCTTCCATGATAATGAACCTCCATTTGTTGTGATTTTGATCAATACGAACAGCTGTAATTTTATATACATATTTGTCAGGTATGCTTAGAATGTTGGCTTTGAGCTTTACATTCAGCTTTCCATTTTGTTTCCATGAACAAATGCTTAATAATTAATAATCAATTATCTTCACATGCTACACCAACACTCCCAAATGCACCAGCAGCCCTCAGCACCTGCCTATAAGGAAGAGCAGCTCCCAACTACACCTTCCTAGAAATCTAGCTGTCCAGTTTATGGGAATTTACAGCCCTAAATAAGTTTTCCTAGTAATATGAGTTGTAGAATGACTCTAAAAAGGAAGGGAGCTAATGCTCTTTGGGTAATTTCTTTTTTTCTGTGTACAGAGACCTGCAAGGTTTACATTGCTCCTGCACAATAGAAAGACACAAGAAGAATAAACAAACCCAAGAGGTGTTTTGGCCTGTCCATGTACTGCCAGATCCAAGTTTACACAGCTCAGGCAGCAAACAGTACATTTTATTTCCCCTTGATCTACTCAACCACTCGGTTACATTCAAGTTGCATTTGCAAGGCTTTACAAAATCATTTAGACTTCTCAGGCAGATTTAGAGATTTCAGGCACAAAAAGAACAATTACAGTCACCCAGTCTGGCTTTCTATATAAAATTCATGACAAGAACATTCCCCAAATTTTTGCTGACCAAGTACTTAAGAGCCAAACTGGATCCTACATTAATCCACATTTTAGATGCCCTCAAGGCTTTTTTCAAACCGTCATTCTCACAGACATATCATATTCAGCAACATGCACTTCCTCTTCATCTAATTAAGGTCTTATTTAATAATTTTTTTTCTCAGGCATCCAATAAGTATTTTTATTTATAAATTTATCTGATTAATGACAAATGTCTAACCTCAGCGTTAATTGCTTTTGAAGCAGTCAATAGCCTTAGGAAACCCAAACCAAAAATAAACAGACAGCCCAACAGTGCAGAAATGTCATAATCTAACATTAACTAGAACAGAACTCCTCCTCAAAGGAAGTCATGCTTTTCTACCCAAATGCTAGTTCCTCTGTTTGTACTTCTAACCATTTACAGGATCACATGTCAGATTGGAATCTGCAGGCAGGATGATAAAACCAGAAGACACTGAAGATGCTTGAGAGACTGAAAATGAACGATGGTTGGAATTATGGCAGTTTGACCACCATCCATGGTAAGTGGATATGTAGTCCACTGTACAAAACAGAAAACAAAATGCTTTCTAAGAGTATGTAGAAGCCTGTCCTTAGCAGATAGCAGGAAACAAGAATGTGAAACTTTAATATTGGGACAGACTTCAGAAAAGAAAAGGAACTGAGATAGATGGACATCCTCAACTCCTTCGCTTTCAGTGGAATGAATCTTCATAATGACTTTACCATGCTGTAAAACCTTGGCCAGATGAAACATCCTCTCCACCTCAGCACTTAGCATCAGTGCATCTTGGTGATGAGCACTGTGTGGTTTTGCCCTGTCCCTGACCTCTGGTTAAATTTCATTTGAGTTACAAAAGTTATTCAGTTTTTTTGTTTGTTTGTGTGTTTTTTTAAATTCAGGTCTCCCACAAAAGCTTCCCAAAAATAAATAAATAAATAAATAAAATCCAGTTTTGAAAAAATAATTCCTACATTTGTTGGAAAATACCCACATCCTCAGGTGCCAAGCACGAAATTTTGCAAACACTCCAAAGTTTTCTTTTATTTAAGCACTTTGTTGTACACTGCTGTTAAAACTACCCAGGTTTTGATTTTTCAGACATAGTATTTCTTGAAAACTATCAACAGGAAACATTTTAAGTTTTAAAAATGGAAAGAAAAAAATTCTTTAAAAATATTCCCCATTAACTGCCTGTGATTGACAGCAAAAGTACCACTGTTATTATTGCGATACCACTATAATTTAGGTATAAGAAGCCAAGAATAATCCCACCTGTGAAAATCAACTTTTAATCACATTTCTCTATTTCTTCATAATATATTGCAACATTCCGTTAAGCACGCTAAGATTTCCCCTACAGTTTCTCATAACTGCAGGCCAATTGAGCAAAATTAAACTGCTCTGAGGATTATCCAGATAAGATATTCAGTGGGTAAAGAAAACAGCAGTGCCAGTGGAAGTGAGGAACACGCAGTTGCTAAGCTCTTGACTACTAAAGACAACACCAAAGCGTTGGTCAATGACTGGGTAACCCTCTGAAGCACATTTGTTGGACCACCTTTGTCAAGCAGCTGGGCTTTAGCAGACATATGAGTGGGCACTGAAGTCGGAGTTTCATTCCAGCTTTTCAAAAGGGTTTCATTAAAACAGATAGGATTTAAATAAACGAATTCATCCCAAAGGACATCTGGACATCTGTTAGTACCGAAGTAAATTTCTGTTTAGCTAAATCCTGAGGCTTTATCTATCAGATGGATAATCTTCAGCATTTATATTCACTCACCGTTCCCATTCCCCCATCATTTGGCACCTGCCAATCTTGTCTATATTTTCTGGAAAGAACCCTGACTATCTAAAGAGATGGGACTATGAAAGAGAGTAATGGCCCGAATCCCTGAAGGCATCTGACCTTTTAAAGCCCCTAAAAGTGTCAGAACATCCTGAAGTTTTTAAATGTGAGCAGATCCTTGAGAGGTGACTTGGATGGAGGCTGGAGTACTTACTGCAGAAGACGCTCACCTCTCCCAGCCTGATTTATTGGTCAGGGAAGCATCAAATCATATTATATAATATTATGTATATATAATGTATATCAAAGAACTGTCTGGAAGATATCTAAAAACCCATAATCCTTGTTAGTAAAACATTTCTCCACTTAGATGCCACTTACTACATTCAAGACGAGGCTAAAGCATGTAATAATATGTCATTTACCCACATCTCATTCCTTCTTTCTACAATGACTGTGTTTAAGGTCATCATTTCCATTGAAAACGATCCTCAAGTTACTTAATTGAATAAAAGTAATTCAGGTCCGGCAATTGTTAATAAATTTGAAGTCCTACAATTTGCTTAATCTTTGGAATCATCAGGAGGCTAAGAAGTCACTTGCCTTTATCTCTGATGTTATTAAAGATGGAAACATCTGAGCTTTGCAATATTAGTTTGCTGCATTAATGCATGGTCATTTTCATGTTCCAGAAGTGGGAAAATGTTTCAAGGTTGGCATTCAGGAACAGAAACAGGGACAGTTTTTAGATGAAGACAAGATTTACTAAACATACCCATACCATTGTAACAGAACCCATTTTATGTCCCAGAGCGCTTGCTTTCATACTCCTATGGACTTTTCAGAGGGGTTTTTTTTATTCTTCGTTCCAACAAAGGAGAAGAGGAAGGCTGGAGAGGATGGCAAGAACTTTTTAAATACAGGAACTTGATCGATTAACACAGTGCTCCAGAGAAAAACTTGAAAAGGTGGAGAGGAGCAAGTAAGAGTGGGACCTTCTGATTGCAAGTGCAAAGCCTTTGAGTCATCTGTGCACTCCAAACAAAACTTCCGTGCAATTACATTATCAGCCTCAGAGTCTACTCTGCTTCCTCAAAGTCTGAATTAATCTGCAGATTTTCCTTCTGATGACTTAAAATATATATATATATTAATGTAATTGAATGAAGTCATTTATCAACTGCAGAATGAACATCTCACCGAGACTTCTTATTGCAATCTGAATGATCTTCCCTTCTTTGTCTAGTTCTGCTTGCTTTATTTCTAAGCTCAGTCTAAAAATGAGTTTCCTTTATAGGAGCTACTACTTTGGGAAGTTTATAAAGGGTTAATACAATATTGCTACATGTGTTAATACTCTCATAATTGGCAGCTGCTGTCTTACATATGATTTATAATGATGCTTTAACCATCTCTAACACCTACAAACCATGCATGCAATTGCTATTAAGCATTTGTTAGCCCTGCATAAATTACATTCAACTATAGTCCTAATATGAAATACGATCAGTTTCCCTCTAAAGGGGTAATTTTCATTCTACATTCCTCTTCTATACACAGCACATGGAAACTGCTTAAGCACAGCAAAGTGCTTTTGTGTAGCAAGGAGAAAACTTACAACACTATCAATCTGAAGAAGTGCAAATTCCAAGAAACAACTCAAAGACAAGAACAGAGGGGGTTGGGAAAGCTGGAGATAAGGAAAGAGGCTTCTTGGTAATCTCTCTGTGGTTTCCCTAATGCTAAGTAGAGACTAAGGAAATATCACGTGCTTATTTTTTGTCCTCTTTTTATATCTAAAAAGTGCTAAATTAGCAGGGTATCAATATATATATTTTTCTCCACCCAGCAGCATCACAATTAGCTAGCCACAAAATAAACTTCCATATTCTCTACCAACATTCTTCATTTCAGAAAATAAGAGCACAGAAGCCCGTTTCATCTCCAAAAGCTGGTGAAGAGGTCAATGAAACCACTTACAGTACTTTCAATTGTGATGATGCTTTTGCAACACATGCATTTGTCACATAGACTCTGAAGGAGGATGGCCAACTAATTTCCATACTCAGCATCACACTACCACTAGTCAACCCTAGCTGGAATTGAGGCAGTCTGGACTGAAACCAGTGACCTCCTATGAAAGGCTGTGTCAATGCAATTCCCAAGCACTACTGAGGCAGAGATAAATTTAATTAAAATAACACGAATAGGAGACTATTCCAGCTGGACAATTATTCAACACAGACCTGACTATGCACTTCATTAAGAGATTGTTATCGGGACAAGTCATGTCCACATTAATGGGAATTGTAGCTTTAAGCAAATTTCTTCCCAGCTCTTTGCTGATTCAATGTGAAGAAGTGCTCTTATCCATCAGAGACTTCTGGAACTATCCACTGCTTGAAGGGAACCCCATTCCACATTTTGAACCCAAGAAGATAACTGGATGGAGGATCATGGATTCATCACATGCCTCCAGATATACAAAGCATTTCAGATACTGTAAAACATTTATGTTTCCCAGCGCAGAGAATGAAGGAAAAGTTCTGTTCGTGCTCTAAGTACAGAATATCATTGCACAAAGCCTGCTCATATAAGATCTTGCACAGACATTTGGGATCTTGTTGTCTTCCTGTAATGCCACAAGCTTTATTCTCTTCTGTCCCAACTACACCACTACCCCAGCAGACACTCGTTCAAATTACTTAACATTATCCCCAATGGAAGTTACTAACACTCCCAATTCGCCTGTCTGGATTTCATGTAAATATCTTCAAATAGCTTCTCTTAAAATGAGCTTGCAAATTCTAGAGGCTAAAAATGTGTACAAATTCTCTGTGTTCTGGCACATTTTGAATGAGACAGATGTGTTCACATTTGAAGCACAGTAGGTGCACAGATGAAAAGGAGTCTGTGGATGTAAATGGGTGTATGTATTTCACAAACTACACTGCGCATCAGATTTTGCTTAACATGCTTTGTACAATGCCACTGAAATGAGGATGACTGCAGACATCTGTATAAAGTTAATTAGCAAGCCTTTCAAAACACGGCTCCTTTTGAGATACTTTCCAAGCAAAAACAGTAATTATGGGGGCACAATTTAATGATTTCTAAGACATCTATATTGAATTTTGAAATATATCTGAAAATGAGTGCCATTTAAGAAATTGGACAATGCCTTCCTGAATTATTTTAGGAGAGTGTCCTGGAAAACAGTGTTGGGGTGGCCACAGTAGTAAGTGCAGGAGTACAGAGACAGACAGAGAGGGGATGTGCATACAGCTCAGTTCTTTAAAGTCATCCACTCTTTGGTACTTGAGTGACACGATGCACTCAATCCAATCCAAATCTGCTTCTGCAGTTTCTGACCCACAAAGATTCCTGAATCTTCTGGATTCTGGTGCTATGAAAAGTTGTCACAGTCCACTAAGGTTACACCTGGTCTCTCTGAGGGCAGAGGTATGCTAGCACAGTTAAACTGATTTAAACAGGCGAACAAAAAGCAAGCACATCTTTTACTCACGGCTTTGTAACTAGTAAAACTTTCCCAGAACAAACCAATAACAGCATACAAGGAACCATCACGCTTTGTTTTCCTGCTTATACAGCAGTTAGCATAATGGGCCAGCATCATATCATTGCCTCATTAATGCATTTCAACTCATGGTGGGCATTTTTGTGACAGTAAATCTTCTGTACAGAGACGTGAACCAGCCAGTGATAACCATCAAATCACAGGATTAAATGCTATGAACGCAGGGTAGTTTTTAGGGAAATTAGAGCATGTTTCACTACATCATCTTGGACACAATCACCTTACTTTTGTTAACATCCAGAGGAATGATTTGGTGATAAGGTTTACTTCAAGTCAATTTATCTTTGCTGCATTCACTTCGCTTCTTTTAATCAGGTCTCATTTCACAATAGGTGAAATATATATATGAATCAGAGATCAAGTTCTGCAATTAAAGCTAGCATATATCTTTGTTTCAAGGGCTACTGAATTCAGACCTTGGGTTTTTCTTTTCCCCTCTCTCCCCACTGCTAGTAAACTATGAATAAATTAGCAATTAGAGCGTAATGGCTGGAGCAAGTTCATTAATATACTGCCATCCTGTGCAGAGGTAAAACTTCTGACATTGAGACTCTAATGTCCTGTGAATTATTGATGGAAAAGTATACATTCGAGTTCTCATCCTTAACTCTTCGTATGCTAAGCATTTAATTGTCAACAATTCATGACCACTGCCAGTTGGCTGGTACTTGAAAACATTGCTCAATAAAACTATTTCTGAATTCCTGAATGTTCTTCTAACCTGGTCCCAGATTGTCATCAAAGCACTTTCTATTTTCTAAATACAATTAGCAAAACCATTTCCTTAGTTGTATGTGTGGTGCCATACTCACTGCTGAGAAAGTAGACGACTTACCAGCTAAACAAAAGTACAGGGATAGGGGCAATAAGCACAGGAAATGCCATCATGGGATGGTTGCTCACAGATTTTGTGGAACCTCCACTATCGCAAATACTCACAGATGGCTGGACACAGCTGAAGTAGCCTGATCTAGATGAATTGCTTTGAACAGAAGAGGTTAGAATACTGACAACCAGAGGTCCCTTCCCACATCCATTGCTCTGTGAAAAGAAACTGAAAAACTGTAAGAGTGAATCAGATACATACCTTAGTGCTTGCATATAATTCTACCAGGCATCGGTCCGCTTTTTCAGCAAGGAAGTACCTCACTCTGTAAATCAAGATCAGAATTCTTCATAAGACGCTCTCACATGAAAGGACAGGATTTCCAACATGCAGTATCCAAAGCTGGAACCTGAAACGTAAACAGAAAGCTCACAGCACTCAGTAAGCTTCATTCTTCAAATGACAATAGGTGAATAAATTACAGCTGAATTCTTCACAAACAATGCACAGTTAATTAACTCTCAGTTAAGTGAAAAATTCCAAATGATTTTAATTGAGTATTTTATTGGATCTTTATTCAAGTGTACTCAAAATACAAAGTCTCCCCCAAATAGGACTTTTTCTGATCAGTTTTGATTCCACGTGACATACACAATCTGGAACACCAAAAACATTAATCCTTGCTATGGTTTTCATTTGTTTTGGAATTCAGAAAGCTTTCTTAAACTGCCTCCCTCGCTGCTCTTTTTATGTTCTTCATGGGGAGATTTCAATCCAGTGGGAAGATTCATGACTTAGATGCCTACTATAGGGACCTGAACCAACTATAAACCCCATAGGCATTAGCACCAGGTTGTTTTCTCACTAAGTTGAACAGAAGAAAAAGACTGGCCTCCTCCTAACTGTACACTGAAATTTTGTATAAGCCTTAGGAGTACATTCACACTGCAGACAGTTTATGGAACTGTCCTTAGAACATAAGAAAGAGACATGCTACTAAGGAAAATTTGCAGAAGACCAATTTCCACCCCAGTGAAGGCATCCGTTAACTTTCTCCCACAGCTGCGCTCCTGAGTACCAACCATAGTATGAAACCTGTTTCTTCTAAGCCTTTGGAGTCTGACCAAAGGTAATTTACTTTCTCATTCATCGACTATGGCAGGAAAGGCTGAGAATGGCAGCCTGTAGCTGTCCTCTTCTGAAAACCTTTGTGGAAGCCAGTGGGATCCAGCAGCTGCTGGTGGTCATTTTTCCTGCATCATTAGCTTCTCTTCCCCTCTCATACAGCAGAGCGGAATGATAGCTGAAGGCATGAAAACTTTCTGATCTCCTTCTCTTTCTACCTACTGATACCACCACGGCAGGTGTAACTGCTGATCAAAGTTAACAAGCATGTGGCACTAACATCACTAATTTGCTTGCATTCACAGCAATTACGGGTGTCCTACTGGAAGTTATCCTGGCTGTGGAAGAACCATGCTATTCATTTTGTTCACTGACTCCAGGCACAGCCTTGAGACTTCAGCTCAATGCAAAGCTGCACTGAGGGTATGAAAGCACACCAACTGCAGAGAACATTATTATTTATCTGATTTAAGTATAGTATTATTTCTTGCTTGCATTGCAGTAGCATTTAGAAGTCACCGTCATGGGCAAGGGGACAAGTTGCTCTGCAGAAAGATTAACAGATAATGTTCAAGGAGCTGATAACGTAAACAAACCAAAAAGAGGAAATGTAAACACACAGTTTTGTTCCTATCACATAAAAGTAGGAAACAAATGATCAGAAACACAGTAAGATTTTTTAAAAAATCATCTGTTTATACATTTTGCAAGAGAGCGAAATAAGAGAAGAACTGTGGGAAAAAGAAGGAAACAATCTTCCAAAAAAATAGAAATCCCCATCAGAACTCAGGGATTCATCAGAGAAAATACCATTCAGCAGGTTGTGGAAACGTATCTTTTATGTCCTTCTTTATTCAACACACTAACTAGTGAAATTTATCGCCACAGGATCTCATTAACCTATGAATCAAGATTAAAAATAATCACGAAACTTTACAGTGATTACCAACGTCTTCAAATTAAGAAAGAATAAGTATTTTGAAAAAGGGGCAAAATCTTTTTATGTACATCCATTTTTTATTAATGTATGCTTGGGGGATTATTTCCTCGTGGCGAGGAGCATCCTTTACCTACTGCAGTGCTCAATTCATCTTGTCCTGAAAGAGTTGCTCCTACCTGCTCCTGGAAAAGAGGATACAGAAGCAACTGGACATTTGTGTTAGCCATAAGGAAAACACTACTTGACACCCTTTCAGAGCATTATGTTAAAGAGGCACCAAATTCCAGCATCAATAAACTTCCACTTGGACTGCTCTACACAAAGCTAACTAAGTAGCCTGGATAATAGCCTGGACAGCCCTGGCAACCTGCTCTGGCTGTCCCTGCTTCAGCCTTGACATAAACAGCCTAACACGTTATGTAGGAGAAAGACTTAAGGAAACAGTCCATAGAACATCACGTGTTGAAAGGGACCCATAAGGATCATTGAGTCCAACTTGGTTTTGAACTTACATACGATTTGAAGTCCTACAGTAGTCTGTCTGATGTTTACAGAACAGAACTTAAAATAAAATTGATGGCTGATTTACAAAACCACTATTCTGAAGTTCTGAATGCTCCCATCACAGGCAGAATGCATCTGGAGACAGCTCAGGCCCTGTTCTAGCATATATTATATTGGAGTAAATCCGGAGCAGCTCAGGATAATCCCACTGTCTTTAAAAAAACAAAAAGCCATGGAAAAACTCACTCTGTTTTGAAACAGCTCTGCTTATTGCCCTGCAGGCTTTGAAGTATTTCTCACCATGCTAATGGCACAGGCACGAAGCCAGGCTTGTTCTCCACGTGCCATGATGGTTCTCTGGCTGTGCCATCATAACCCATGCCACCATAGCAGCAAATGCTGCATCACAACCAGGATCATTTTTCAGGAGCCTGCAGTTATTACCCATTTGAATTTCTTTTATTATTGTGCCTTCTGGTAAAGCCTATTTAGAGAACTGTAACTGTATGAAACAAATAAAAGGGTATGTGCTATATACCTGTAGCTCACAGCAAGATCCCCTGTTGATTCAACCCTACCAATTTTTACTTATTTTAGGCAATTTGGGGTTTGGACAGCTGCTTGGATACAGGTCCCATTTAAAAATCAGTGTCTGCTAGTAGGCTTTCACTATGTGATAGGTTTTACCACCTTTGCTATTCTGTCAGAAGAAATCCAAATCATTTACAAAGCTAATGAGTACAGAAAAATTGAGATAAGGACATTTGAAAAGTAAAGCGTATTAGCAAAAAAAGAGTTTAAAAGTACCACTAACGCACACACCCCCCCTTTATCTAGATGGTTGTCAAAGGAAATGCTGTTTTTCAAAAATGGTAATTGTCTGTACATTTTCATCCTGCAGGACTTTGATTGCACTGAACCACAAAGCTTTGCTTGTAGAGAAATGTATTGTGGTTGAAAAATACTGTCCCTTTAGCATTCTGCCGTGTGTACTCATTTTGAGTAGAAGCAGCAATCACACAGTCTAAGAGATTGTCACTGATGAACCCTGAAATAACCATTTAGCAGAAACCACAAGCAAAAGCAAAAATAAAGGTCATTTATTTAATTCTGAAATTTACCTCACTCCTTGCTTTGTACTAAAAATGCTATAAGAATGAAAATTAATTGAAGTGAGAGCACATCCTGCCAATTAGGAAAGTGAAAAAATCCCGCCACCTTTTATTTGCTGCTAACCTTTCTTATTTTCATGACAATGCCTGCATTTTCTCTCTCTAAAACACAAACAAGTCAATGTAAGCATGGCTGCAAGGCTAAGATGATTATGGGATAATTTGTGTTTGCAAGACCAAACAAAATCAATTGCAATTGTTTAGGAACCAAGCACATTAAATGGTGGTGAAAAGATATTTGCTGGACTCTTTCAACACTTTTTTTTGTTGCTGTTGTTTTTTTTTTAAATCCCAACAATAATAAGGGATAGACTGACAAAAACCCTCAGGAAATGTTTCAGAAATGTGCTCACTACTCTGTCCACAGTGATAAAGCAAGGAGTAACTTCAGAGTCATAGCGTGCCTCTCTGTTAAACCTGGTAACTGTCATCTTTGGGAATTGAATTGTGAGGTTTTGAATGGAACACTTCACAGCCAGACAAGACAACCTCTTGTTAATGATCCAAAAAGCCCAAATTCTTTGTCTGCATTCATAACAAACATCCTCCACTGATTGAGTGCACATGAAGTGATGCTATGCGTGTCCCAGCTGGATGCTCACTAGCAGAACCAGATCAGCTTGAGTACTTTGTTACCTATTTTACATTCTGAAGTGATGCACAAAAAACACTCACTTTGCCCTCCAGTTTGTAATGCAAACACACTGTTTGTGGAGATGGTCTAAGGAATGTGGAGACATGGCACCTTTGAGGGACATGGTCAGTAGGCATGATGGGGATGGGTTGGGGTTGGACTTGGAGATCTTAGAAGTCTTTTCCAACCTTAATGATTCTATGAAGGACCTGTCAACCAAGGAGACACAGGAAGCCTCAAGAAGAAAAGACCCAGCACAATCACACCCATGTGCCTGAGAACCCAATGGAAAGGAGAGGACAACAGAGACAGGTCTTCGTGCTGCCCAAAAACAAGACAAAAGGGAATGGGCACAAACTGAAATAAAGCAAAAGGTGCTTAAAAATAAGGAGAAGATTTTTTATCTTGATGATGCTCAAACATTGCAAAGATTGTGACTCTAGGAGAAGGATTAAACCTACTGAAGGTGATCTACATGCAATAGAAATTATTTATAAAATGAAGAAACTTCAATGTGCTTGAGGGGGGGGGAAAGGGTTCCCAAGCAATGTGTCTTGGTTTAATTATTTACAGCGATGCTTGATGGTCTCATTACTGGGTCATACATGACCTCTGGGCAGTGTCTTCATCCTTCCAGATTAATAAGTTATTGTGACACAAATAACTTTGGCAATTATTTCTTCTTTAGAGACAAAGAGATATGTACTTTTTGCTCAGGAAAAGGTCAATTTTGGCACACACAAATGTCCTTTAAAAACAGACAGTATCTTCATACTCAAGAGACCAATTATTCATTCTTAATTCATTTTTTTAATCTTAGTTTCTGTTTTATAAGACTCACACAAGCTGTAAGGGGTTATCTCTATCAAGGTCCTTTGTACAAAAAGCCTGAGAGTATTTTAACACATTGGCAAAACTGTCAAACTGTTGTGAAGTATACATGTTGTTAGAAAGTACCCATTTTTAAGGCTGTGACTCTTATTCTAACTTAATAAATTAACATCTTCCATTATTTATCTCCAGAGCTCCCTCAC